AACATAGAAACTGGTTTCCAGGGTTCCTTTGGTCACTTGTTGTTTAGGACTTTTCAGCTGTGTGTGAACTTTGCTGTGCAGATGTGATAAGTGAGTCCATGCTGTCTTGTTTCTCCTCCAGTTCCCTATGGGCCCCGGCTCTGACGGACCCCTGGGAGCCATGGCTGGGATGGAACCACACCACATGAACGGGTCACTAGGTAACACCACCTACTACAATACACCTATCAACACAACACAACACAGATGTTGGGGTTGCATTCTTATACATTAAATGAGTTTACTTTTGTCCTCTATGTAGCACATCAGTAGAGGCCAGACTGTATTTCCGGTAGAGCCATTGTTTTTAAAAGAGCTTTCTTATGGTCATGGGTTACAAACATTGTTAAAAATGTTTTTCATATTGTTTCATTGCTAGGCTCTGGTGATATGGATGGAATGAACAAGGTAAATATTATAACCATAAAAAGAATATTTGCAATTAAAGCTCAATCTGGAATAAATGAAATGTTTTACATTTTAAAAAAATGTTGCGCATGCTTTGTTTCCAGAATTCTCCAAACAATTTAAGTGGCATTAGCAATCCTCCTGGGACCCCAAGGGATGACGGGGAGCTGAGTGGAAACTTCCTCCACTCCTTTCAGAGCGAGAACGTAAGTCTTCCCGCTTGCCAGTTCCTCTCCTCAGCTAACATCACTGGACTGTTGGCGACTGTAGTGGTACTTTGATGAAGCCAGAGGTAGAGCACTGTTGACCGCACAATAAAGCCACAGTCACAGCGTATTAACATCACTGACTACAGTAGCACTGTGGAGAGCAAGCTGTGCGTTTGACCAAGGAGCACTTTGTAGGGAAAAGGTGTGTGTGTGTGTGTGTGTGTGTGTGTGTGTGTGTGTGTGTGTGTGTGTGTGTGTAGATGTGTTTTTTAATCCTCTCCTCTCTGTGCCTCCGTAGTACTCTCCAACCATGACGATGAGTGTGTGACCCCCCTCCACCCCACCCAACATTATTTGCCATCATTCCAAGGATCTGAACTCACTATAGGACACGGCCAAACACATCAGCACCGAATCAGGGACAGGCGCCATTTTGGTTCCACACTATCGCCAGAATGCTGATCGGAGAAAAATCAAAATGGCTGGCGACTACTGCTCCTTGCTCAAAATGAAGGACAATTTCTCCATTTACCACAACCCCAAGTGTGACAAAAACCAGCTACTGAAATGCATACATGACACGTTTTATGTTCTTTGCAGAGCCCCCGTATCCCCCTTTTAGTCCCCTCAGCCTCCTCAGTCCCAGAGCGAAGAGAAAAAAAAATGGTCGAAGTTTACCTCTTGTACTTTTTAATTATTGCTTTGTGGTGCAAGATGTGCAGGAAATGTCTCCGCTTTTGTCACTTAAAACACTGGAGAGTGTGCATATGCATTGTGTGCTTGGAAAGTCTTTGTCTTGTCATTTTACTTATCGCCATGCATACTGTGTCACAAAAGTCAGTTGACATATGACTCAGAATTTGCCTTTTACTCTGTGGCCACCTTTCAGAATAATGTACTATTCTTCCCAATGCCCACTCTTCTATTTAAAGAGGTTTTTAAGGGGAAAAGATGTGAAAGAATACAGCTTTTATTGTGACCACCTTTCACGGTATGAAAGTGCTCAGATGGTTCCTACAATGTCAAATTGATCCCATTTGATCAATTTCAGTCTCTTATTGTTGACAGCCATGCTACTCGGCACTCTGCTGTTTAATTTAAACAGCCGGACTGCTGTTGTGTTCTGTCAAGGGAAACCAGACTTCGGCATGAGAAGTGAGTGCATGAATGCTGAGAATCTGTGTACAACATACTACCTAGTGCTGCTCTTCTCTATGTGGACACCTGCTTTAAGATGTGGTGTATATCTCTTTACCTGCCTGTGCTTAACACTCTGTGCTCTTCATCGTCGTAGCCATCTGTGTTATTTCCAATTTGGTTGATTATGATGAAATGGCTATGAATGAGCTGCCCATTTTAATGTCATACATATTGGTTGTTCATACTTCCCTCCTGTATCATTGGTTGTCTCCTTGGCCCTGCCCCCCCCCCACCCCCCCCCACCCTTGTCAACCCACACATTTTTTTTATATTTTGATACAATCTTTGACTATGTATATTGCCCCAGTTATTCAGTTAGTCAAAGCTTTCTAAATTGATTCTAGTAGGCATCATTATAAACTTAGCAGCAGTCTTGTAAATGTGATGAGAATTTTTGTTTCATTTTTTTTTTTTCCTGTGAACATTACGCATTATACACATCTGTCCTATGTTGCCTTTATTTGCTGATATTTTTTTATTTCAAATTGAGGAAAGATTGCTTGTTAATATAATTTTACAATAACTTATCTCACTGCGTGGGTTGTTTTATTTCGAATGAATGTTGATTCATGCCACATTACATATCAGAGTAACTGAGGTTTGTTGTTGAAGCTGTCAACATGATCAGTGTTAACTGAAGTTAATTAGCACACAAAGAAACCATTCATTTGATGAAAAAAAGCCACAGAATTTTTTTTTGTAATATAAAAGACAAGGAAGGATCCATCTAAAACATAGTACAGACTGTATCTGCATGCAGCCAGCAGTTAACGTCACAGTCACAGTCTCTCCTTTTCCTGATACACCAGTCTGTAGCAGGCAGGAAGCATCGGCCTCATCAGATCACTTATATCTTCACTCAGTAATCCCTGTGGGGGAGCCAGAGGGTGCTGTAGTCCACAGCCGCCAAACCAATCAGAGGAAATCCTGGAGCGTGAGTGGAGTCTTTGGCAGAGGAAACCCTCTGCAGGTTGGCCTGAACTTGCTGTGACACCAGAAAGGATATAGAAAGGGACACTGGTTCCCAACCTGGAGCTTAAATCTGAGGGATCACACGTTGATTAATGTGATAGGACAAAAGAAATGTTTTACAGACATTTCTTTCCTTTTTTTGGGACTTTTTTCTAATATTTGTATGGATTATTTGTGAAATACTGAATAGTTTAACTCTTTGATACTTAAGTATTCATATGACAATCTGAGATCTGTGTTGAGGACACAGGTTTGCTTTTTGGATTTGTCCATGATTAAATTAGATACAGTTAGCATACTTAGACTATACAGTATGTCCATCATGTTGGGATTTTAATAGACTGTTCTCGTCTTGTTATCTGGAGAAAACGTAAAATCCTAAAACAGACCTGACAAAATGTAAAAGGACAATGAAAATCCATACTAAATGTATAGTCCCAATAATATGCCTCACTCATAGTGCTCCTATTCCCCTTTTTTGTCTTTGCTCATGTCCACATTATTAATCCTAACAGAACAGCCAATATAAAGTGTCCTAAATCGGTACTCTGACTGTAATCTGCCTTTAAAAAAAAAAAAAAAGAAACTTTTACTATGAAAGGTCCACTTAGATAATGAGTATCTGGTCTTGATGGTAAGTCTGATCAAGATAATAAACCACAGACTTAACATGGTGCAGCCAATACATAAAAATAGGTAGAAATAAAATGACTAAATTAGGAGGGATCACTCCAAATATAGGAGTCAGAATGAAAAACAGCCTCATGTTTTTCATGTCTCTTCTCCTTTTGGAGAAAAAATGGCTTCACATTGCCCTCTGGTGGACTACATAAGCAGTCGATACAACATTTACACTCACTGAACTTGCTGTACCTTAAGGCTTCGGCTTTTACTTTATGATTCAGACGTAAATCTTAAGAAAAGTAGATGGTTGGGAGGAACTTGCTATGTTCTGGTTCCTGTCTAACAATAGGAAACGAGGCTGAGCTGCTGCTGGCTGGTCTCCACAGGATGTGGCCTGGCTGGGCAGGAGCCAAACCTCTCCAACTTCAGATCCACAGTTAATGTTATGAAAGCTTAGCGACACAAAACTGCTTTGTTCACTGCCATATCCATGCAGTAAACTTGTAACCATGAGCTATGGTATTAACATATGACTTTTTTTTTTTTCAGCAGGGTTTACTTTTATAGTCAGTTTTACACAAATCAAAAAAGCCAAGGCACACATTTGTGTCAATGCTGCTCTTTTATTGCTGGGATCATTAAAATATTATAGGAGAACTAACATTAAAATGTACCCAAATACATGAGCAAATTTAATATTAATGTGCTGTTAATGTGGAGAAGAAACAGCAAAAACTTTAACAAAGACAAGAGAAGAGCCAATGAATCAGATTATAAAAATACTGTCAAACAGTTGGGAGTCTAATTAGTCTTCCCTTGAGGGAAATTAGAGAAATTAATCTCTTTGAGTGTAGCATCAGCAGTACTTTCCATTTTCAATACAGTTCGGGCCATTTTGTGCTCATTCACCACTTCCACAGACTTAGAGAGACAGACAGACAGACTGTTATGTAACACTTTCGAAGAATTAAATTAACACAGAAGCAGTTTTGTAGTGAGAGTGACATTTTCTCCACACATAATCTAAGCCAAAATCAATCCGTGTGCAAAGGTGACACAGTTAGGTATTAACTCATGCCACACTACACAACTCACATGCATGTATGTGTGCGCAGTGGCTTCGTTGAACTTGCAGAACAGACATACAGTACAGTATGTTTACCGTCTATCACATCCAGACCAGACAGCAAACAACAGTCAGATCCTCACATGGTGGGAGACTGCCGTGTGTGTCAACATTAAAGACCTGCAGCCAATTTCTGTGAAGAACCATGATCTACATATGAAGACCTCTGTAGCTTCGCAGACAATCTTGTTCTGTCTGAATGGGTCGGGGGGAGAGAGGATTAATCACAGCGACTACTACCAACTACAGATGTGTGGAAAACAATGGCTTACACACAGTTCTGATGCTTCTCATTTTAATTATTTACTGTGAAAGCAACAATTTGGATCATTCATGAACATAATGAGATGGATGATAATCTAGCTAACATAAGACAGTTGGTTTTTTTAGTATATTAAAATTCAAACATTCCTGAATGAAACCACAGTGAAAAGCAAATTTATTCTGATACAAGACTTGTTGTAGACAGAGCTTATTGTACATTAAATGTGTCCAGTCATTCAGAGAAAACCTACTTTAAGTGATCTTTTATCAAACTACAGTTACCAGAGGTTTGCACTGTAATCATCATGTAGAAAAGCAGCCTCCTGTTGAATTACCTTGGAGCATTTATAGACAAATATCATGGAAAAAAATGCTTTCACTGACTTAAATCTTCAGGATTTGTCTTTAAACTTCAAGCAAACTTTAGAATTAAGACAACTTAAGTGAAAAAAATACACACACAAACACATAGAGACACACAACATCTCCTGTATGTTATGATACCTCAAACACAAACTCTGAGTTGACCATCTCTCTGTGTTTCATTTCATCTGGCTACAGAGGCCTGTGGTTTAATCTGTAGTCGTCACTAAGAAACACTGAGACGTGAGTTCAAGGCCAGGGGTCGACAGCTGAGGTCAGTTTTCAGGGTGCAGGAGAGTCTGGAGGCATTGTTAGTGCACGTTTGGAGGGGTTGCAATATTTATCTACTCATGCACTGGTTGATATGAGAGATGGAGAACAGCTATAGAACCACATGTAGATGTGGCAGTGTATTGAGTAGTGTAAAAAAAATAAAACTGAGAAAGGATCAGTAATATATGGTGTTGATGTAAAATGTTAACACCCCTCCACCCTTCCCATCCCCTACTGAACACAGAGATCTCCGTCCATTATAAGACTGGTTAGATGATTGCTACATGCCTTGACTTGAATTAACAATCTTCTTATTTCATCTTCTCCAGGAATGAACGCACTTCCATTGGATTGTAGCCCCAAGGCCCCATGCCCCCCTAAGGAACACAGAACGAGGAATGTTAACGAACATTTTCATTTTGATTTTTTAGTTTTGTTAGAATCATAAAAAATAAATCAAGATAAGATACCAGAAACATTTCTGGCACGTCTAACACGAGCCTGGCTTCATGCCAAGAATTTGAGTACTGTGTCTGTTTCTTTTACTGCTCCTCCCCACGCGATAGCGTGAGTAGGTTAGTGCGGTGACTATTGCCCCATAACGCTGTTCTTACTTCTTGCATGAGAAGAGCAAAGAGTGTGGAGTGAAAGGAATTTCCTGTCACTTTTCCTGGAAACTTATCAATCAGGAGCACATAAAATGAAAGTGCAAGAATTTGTCTTGGTGTCAGTGGTGCACAGTTCTCACCTTGTAGACGACTTTCCCAGCCTGTAGCACATAAAGCCTCTCGGGCAAAGCGCCATACTTTATGGCAGTGACATCATTCATTTCATCCACAACCACCGGACACAGGGGCTCCTTTTGAACCAGGATTTGTGCTGCAGACAGCCTGTCCTCCAAGCTCCGGTGGCGGTTGATGTCAATGTTGTTGGTAAAGGCCCAACCATCTGAGACAGAGATAAAGAATGTGATTTCACTGGAGTAACACTGAGGGTAGTAAATCAAAGTTGAGGTGTGTATAATACATTCTGTTCAATGGTTGTTGCTTAAGAACATTCCTGCATTGAGAGTTAAAGTGGTTTAATAAAGGTGAATGCGGCCCAGAAGATGGTAATGTTACTGCCTGGTCGCAGATCTCAGGGACTGTTTTCTATAGTGAATTTTTTAAAACTTTTTTTTGTGAACTCAAACACTCAACATCAGACTGTTTTGGTAAAATATGATGATATGAGTCAAGAGAAGACTTTTAACTCATTTTTAACTCTTTTAACTCACTCTAACAAGTGATTTATTCTTGGAAATTTTAAAAACATAAACTGATGCATTTTAAATTTAATGGGGATGTAAAGAGCTGAAGGCCCATTATACATGTAGATTATACTGTATATTTCAGGGTAAGGAAAATCCAAGTACTTTTAACACATCCATTTCCAAAACTTTCAAGAGTTTATTCTTGTCAAATGTGCACTTTCAGGAAAGTCCTTATAAATAAAGTTTGTTTTCTGTCTTCCCGTCTTGACTTTCACTTTGGAGATTTTAGAACTACTGTTTCTCCTCCGATAAAAGTCATGATTATAATGACTCCACCTGGCGACTTCCACTCACCTGTTGAATGTGCCTCGGCGATGTAGACCACCAGAAAGTCAGCCACATCGCTGAAGTCCTTGACGAGTTGCTTGAACTCATCAAGTTTGTACATAAACGGGGGTCAGGTGCAACTTCCAAAACTCAGCACCAGCGGTCTGTTGTCTGCCGAGAAAATAAAGCTTAGATTTAGGATCATAAGATACTAGTGGACCAAAGAAGGAAAGCGTGAATCTACAAGACGCACCTTTCAAGAACTTGCAAACACTTGTTTTATCTCCGTCCATAGTGACAACAGGTGAGTCCGGAGCTTCTTTTCCCACAAACGCTTCTTGTCCGAGGGAGAGCCACATGTGCAGAGATGCGGTTTTGATGAATTTGAATGATTTAAACGTCGGTCCCCAATCTTCATACTTAAAGTTGGGATTCTGGGTCATGGTGATTTTTTCACCCATTCTGAGGATTTGCTTCTTTGTGAGGCTTGGTGAAACAAAATGCATAATCCTGACTATGATATTGAGTGCTATCATGTAGCAAAACACGCATGCTGTCGAAAAATAGAGCAGCAGTTTTTGCAGAAACATACTTCCTCCTTGATGGTGAAGTCCCGTTCTCTCCTTGCCTCTCTGGCAAAACTGTCATTTGATTGTTAAGGATGTCGGTTACCGCCCACTCGGCTCATGTTTGATAACAGCTGCCTTCAAGGCCTTTCTGTGAGCTCGTACTTTCTATACTGCAAAAATACTTTTGTCGAGCGCTTTAGTTGCCCAGCAAAGTGACTATGTGTTCCGTTTCCTTGAAATGTCCCCTCGATCCTTTCCTACGTCCTCCCTGACCTCCCAGTACTGTACATTTGGAAATCCCTTTAGGAAGAGATATAGCCATATACCACACAGAACATCATCAGCTTCCCTGGCAAAAGTAAAAATGGCATTACATTTTCAAGAGCAGTCTTTCAGGAGAAGTTAATCAGCTCCATGTGTTGCCTGAGCACCCAGAGTCTCTCAGATTGCGCTTCCTATGCAAACTTTGGGAGTTTTTTTCTCTTATACTTATACTTGCATCTTCAAGGGTATCTGTCTGTGGACAACCTGCACAACACAGAAACGAAACTTAACAGGTGTGCAGTTGACATAAAAATTAAGACAGAGTTCAAAGTTGGGTGTGGTCCTATCCATGAGTACTTAGTTCTCATGTAATAATGTAGCAATGACTGAGTATTCATTCAATAATGTAGTAATAACTACTGAATGCTCATGTAATAATGTAGCAATGATGTAGTAATGACTATTTAGTAGTTATGTAAAAATGTTGTAATAATGTCATAATAACTTCTGAGTACTGAACGTCAACATGTTGACGGTCATGGCAGCTGGAGTGATCACATTGCAAGATGGTCTCTTTAAATCAGCTCTCTGCCTCTCTGCTTTGCAGTTGCTTTCTCATAAATTACTTAATAATGAAATCATAAAATCTGGCAAATGTATCCCATGACTGTGATTTAATTATGTGTGTATTTTAATGTAGAAATTTGTTAACATTTTCTGTTATAGGGCTGTTAGACTGCGTCATGGTCATCCGTGATGTAATGAACATCAAATGAATTTTCAGAAGTCAGGGAATGTAGACCATATAAAATTACTGAGCACTTTATTAAGAACGGCATGGGTAAGGTCTCCCTTTGCCACAAGTTGAAAAACATTCCTTTGAGATTCTGGTCCATGTTAACATAACTGCATCACATCATTTTTGCAGATTTGTCAGCTGCAAATTCATGCTGCCAATCTGTAGATTGGCAGCATGAATGTCCTCAGTCACCAGATTCAGATCTGATGACTGGGAAGGTCACTGAAGTGCACTGAACTGAACTCACTGTCATGTTCGTGAAACCAGTTTGAGACAACTTTTCCTTTGTGACATGATGCATTATCCTGCAGGAAATAGCCAAAGGACGATGGTAAATTGTGGCCATTAAGTGATGCACATGGTCAGTAACAGTACTCAAATTGTGTGTGGTATTCAAACCATGATTGATTGGTATTAATGAGCCCAAAGTGTGGCAAGAAAGCATTCCCTACATCATTACACCACCAGCAGCAGCCTGGACTGTTGACACAAGGTAGGTTAAGTCCATGGATTCATGCTGTTAACGACTGTCTTCTGCCTCAGTGAGAAATTCAGATTCATCAGACTAGGCTACATTTTCCAGTCTTAAACTGTCCAGTTTTGGTGAGCCTGTGCCCACTGCAGCCTCAGATTTCTGTTCTTGACTGACAGGTGAAACCCAATGTGGTCTTTTGCTGTTGTAGCCCATCCACCTCAAGGTTCAAGATGTTGTGCATTCTGTTAATTCAGTGATTATCTGAGTTACCATAGCCTTTGTGTCGGCGCTGAACATTCACCTCTGGCCTCTCTCATCAACAAGGTGTTTCCATCCTACTCATTGGATGTTTTTTTGTTTTTCACACCATTCGGAGCAAACTCTAGAGACTGTTGTGCATGAAAACTGAAGCTCCTGCCTGTATCCGCATGATTTTATGCATTACACTGCGGCCAAATGATTGGCTGATTGGATAATTGCATGAATAAGCAAGTGTTCCTAATTAAGTGCTCAGAGAGTTTACAGTTTTCACATTTATTGTGTGTTAAGTTGCGCTGTTGTGCTTTTTCAAATGAAAGAAAAGAGTGAATTTGAGCAACATTTCTCCATGTTTTGTTGCAAGGGCTCTTAACCATAATGGACTTGGACTTTAAGGATAATATGAGCTAACAGCCATTCTAAATGATTAACTTAGGTTATTCCCATGACATTCTTCACTTCCTTTTCTCATTAGCAGGTAACGGCCTTTTTCACAGTAGACATTCTCACCTATCAGGGTCGGAAAGGTCTTACCACTAATTGGATAATAAATCTCTTGATTGAGTTTGCGTTTTCCTCTTATTTACCTCAGTCCAAATCCTCCTCGCCTCTGATTGGTTAGTTTAGCGACATGTGACCCAGAGACAGGAAGTGTTATCGTTGTGAAGCGGACGAAGTGTGATGTAGAGAAAACTGCCGCTTGTAAAGTTGATCCGTTGACTACAATTGTAGCCCAAGTTAAAGCCAAAAATAGACATCAATTAAGACATACTAAAGTGGAAGCGATGTCTCTCTTTACGTCTGACCTCACAACAGCGTCCTGTCTGTTTGCATCCACCATGTAACTGACTGCCCACCTGTGGCAGCAGGGTTTTGTCCCTGCAAACTAGCTTGACTTCCAGCTGTTGTACCTAGCCGATCGTTTGCGCATTGGTGATTAGGTTAGAGATAGTCAAAGTGTGCTTGTCAAACTGCCCTTGACTCAGTTTCCGTTCTTAGATCGGTAATGACATTGCATGCATCATGCGCAAGCGCAGACGTGTGTGGAAACTAAACTTGCTTATTAAGCCCTAAGAGGCAGCAGTTGCAGGCAAATGTCCCAGTTTTGAGAGCAATTTACACTGATTTCTCATCTCTGTGCGAGATCTGAAGCGAAGTAGAGAAGTTTGATACAGAATATTGTTACAGGAGTAGAGCAGCTCCTTTTAGGAATAGCTAGGTACGTGGTTTGTGTGCATAGCAGGCGAGAAAGAGAGAGCGGTTAAGCTAGCGACTGGAGCAGAGAGTTAGCTATTTAGTTAGCAGTGTAGCTGTGGATGTAGCACTGTGATGCATGTGCACTTTAGGTTGTTTGTCAGTAAATAAATACTAGACTCCTCAAGACCGAAGTTCCCCCCTGCTTCCCAACTACAGTCCAGACTATGAACCAGGAAGATTAACAACACTGAGGCTGGAAAATGCAGGATTCTACATCGTCGCTGGCGTGTCATTGTCAGTTAATGGTAAATATTTTGAAGATTACCATAGAAATATAAACATTTTTCCTCCTATACTGCACATCTGGTACGTTCACTGTCGGTTAAGACAAACAGTAAAACTAAGGGCAGTGAATTTGTTGTTTCTGTGTCTCTAGGCGAAGATATAATGAACATGCCATTTGTATTCTAATGTGTGCACTTAATGCACAAAGAATAGGAAGAACTGGGGGAGAACGAATCCACACAAGGGATCCACAGCTCATTTATGCCTCAGGGCCTAGGGAATTGGGAAAAGCCTAAGAAAATCCTGCTGCATGTAACAGAGGGCTTGTAGAAAAGACTATATACTGAAATTACTAAAACTATACGCCTGCATGTGACAGTCACTATGATAGCTCTAGATTTTCTAAAGTGATACAACAATATTTCAACAAGAGCCTACATTTTATTTCATGGAGGCAGTCTTTCTTTATTGATCAGTTTGCCATCAGTCGCCACCCAATTAAACAAACAGGCAATACAAGTTGTAACTGTGACTTGAAATCAGAATTTAGAAATTAGAATCACATCCAGGCCACTCGTTTTAAACCAGTCTTAGTTTTTGGGATTTTGTTATAGAAATAATTCAAGTGTGAACGAAAAGTTACAGTGAGGGAACGTGTATTTATATAGCCTATAATATAGGCTTACATGTCATTAACCAATAGACTTAAGTGCTCTTTCACTCTCTTTCTGTCTGTGGGCTGCTGTAGGGAACATCTTGTTCGCTCATGTTCATTTGCATTCATTGTATTTCCAACAGCACGTAAAGGCAGCATCAGATCCAATAATTCCTGTCACGCATTTCCGCATTCGTACAGCCACATGTCCAACTGAACCGACAGGCAAACAAGCGCACCCAGTCACACGGTTTCCACAACACTGATAAACTCACTTGCTCCACTCGGCATTGTGTATGCAGTTAAAAACCAAGTGGAGCCGTCACTCTCTGTGTCAACTGTGACCCAGTTAGGATTTTTGGCTTTTATGTAAAAGCCACCAGATGGCGCTGTAGAATAGCATTTCCTAAATAGAAACGCTGTTCTTTATGAAAAGCACTTCTCTCAGGACTGGGTCAGGAAAGAACAATTTAATGCGGAATCATAGATTTTGGGAAGACTTGGAACGCTATTTTTCTTTCTTTCTTTCTGTATCTATTTATTTCTGTCCAGTTTTTCCTTATGAAATCCAATACTTTGATCTATTACCAAGAGATTAATTTTACATCCAATCTTCTTCACAAGATTTCTGTATAATTATTTATTCACTATCATCTTACACCATTGTTTTTCCAACTTACATACTTACTCAAAAAGTCAGTCAAGTTAATAAACCAAGATCCTACATACAAATAATAATTCACAATAATCAGAGTGCTTCTCTATTGAATTAAAAAAAAGAAATAAACTGTTCATTTCACGTTTTCATTCAGGTTTCCAGGAGGGAAGTACATGTGTGTCTCATTCTCACATCGATCTGCACTTGCATCAAACAATCATTAAGCCACAAGCTCACAAATAGTGACATCACATAAACTACGGACATCTGCAATATTACTGAATCCTGGCTGCACAGGTTGCATTGCCCACAAATCGCAGTATATGAAAGTCTAGAAGATGCCAACATTTTAGCATATTACCATAATTACTAAAATTTTTTCACTAAACTTACAATATGCATCATAAAACACTGAAGCTGACCGTTGTTTAATTACATTGCACTGTTGTGGTGTAATGGTGTGTGGACGCACTGTAGCCAAAGTTTGGACCGTTGTTGAATGACCCGCCGACTACATTTTTACATCCAGTTTTTCAATGACTGGCACATTAATCTACATGTCACCTGTCACTGGGTGCATTATGGCTGAGAGCATACGGGGTCATATACGCACATGCAGCCACTCGCAAACTTTTACATCCAAGCTCAGATTTACGGCAACACAGCCGTCTTGATCCAGATCTTATCCTCCCACAGAAACACGGACACAGTCTTCATTGGTGCGCCCGAGTTCTGCAGAGCAGCGGAGCTATCGGGTGTCAATCTCAGAGAGAGAGAGAGAGAGAAGTGGGGAGGGAGACGCATGGGATGCTGAAGACTGATCCTCACTGAGAGGATGCTATCGATCAGGCTTGCAAATGCCTCCCCCTCGTGTTTGATAAACATGCTGATGTGCGCAATTAGACGTTTCCTGCTCCTTATAGGCTCATCGGACAAGGTAGGTGTTGCCAAATCCCTGAAGTTTAATTGCTTTTTGTCCAATGTGTTCATTCTTCCTGTTCAAATGAATGCCCGTTATCACGGTCTGTGGCACGGACTTAAGGTGTCTCGGCGTTGTTTATACATTTTGCAGTCATTTATCTATTTTCCTGTGCAGCAGGTAATGTGAGCAGCGGCTACACACTGCATGGGCAAGCCGAGGCATCAATGCAGAACTCCTCAGCGCTGTTCGGGATGGTCAGCCACTGTCAGACCCCGAATTTCACGGACTTCACCGGCCTGACGCTCTCCGTGTACGGCAGCAAGGCGGACATCTGTGCGCGGCGAGCCGGGAGCGGTGGTTTTGCGTCTCAGATTTGCCGGAGCCCCCATGACACCCCGACTCACATGAACTGCGCCAGCCCGAAGCGACTCATCGCGACCGAGCAAAAAGCGCATCTATCAGCCAAAACTCCGCGTTCGTGCTTCTCTCTCCCGCCCATGCAAGGTAGGCCCTGCACGTCCTTTAATGTGAGTGTAATTGATGCTACTGAGGTGGTCACAAAGTTGATCAAATTTCTGGATGTGGTGGATAAATTATAACAACATTTGATGTAGTAATTTATTTGCCTCTTATTAAAGCAAACTATGACGATAACAGTAACAAATCCAGTCAAACAGCAGCTGTCTCAGTCTTGCCAGTTCCACCAATTATCAGTTTCCAGGTTATTTGAGATTTGTTAAAAGCCATCATGTGAAATTATGCAGCTTCCATATGGCTCCTCTAGAGCATCCTTTGATGCAGCTGTACTGTGCCTTTGTGTTGAGAACCCTGTTTGCAGTTGTGGATTAGGTCTGTTAATCAAACCCAGAACTCACTTGGATCCTTGGCCAATTCATAAATTACCACCACAATCAAAGTGTCTATTGCACATGAAGGCCATGCGAAGTGATGTGCAGTATGTGGAGTAACTGCCAAGCAAACGTGCGTTTCCTGTGGATGTTAACAAGGCATGACAGCCTTTAGTTCATGGGAGGATTAGTGTGATGTTGGCTCATTTAGCTGAATGTGGAACACTGTGGCAGCTTCAAGCTTTTGACAGTTTGAAACAATACTTCCATGAATGAATGAATTGGGAAATGTTTGTTCTCAACTTTTGCTCTTAATTTAAAGAAAAAAAATACTTGAGTGACATTTTAAATCGGTGTGCTCGAATGTGCTTTTTAAATCTCATTCAGTGCCTTTTTGAAAAAATAAAATAAACTTTGACATGGGCTCATCAGTGAAAGCGAAAACTTTAAAACAACAATTACATAGATGAAATGAGCACTGTCATACAGATAGCATTCAGAGTGGAAATTGGGCTCTTCAGTCTCTGTGCAAGCCTGCTCCATCCTGTTTAGACAGAGTGTTGTTGTGAGAGGGCGGAGGTAATTACAGCCCCATCCTAAATTATGATTAGACGGAACAGACTTTTATATTAGCAATCATCCTTGCAGCAAGAAGAGGATCAACGGATTTGATTATTGTTTCTTCTTGCTAAACACAAACCATATGTCTGCTGAATGTGTCTCTCAGCATTTATGAGTTCTCTTGGAGCACAGTTGTGCCCTCAGCCCTCCATCCCCAGCATCCTCGTACCAGAATGAATCGTCTCATTGTCTTTGCAACGCTTTTGAACTCGCTTCCCGTAAATTGTGGGAATGCAAGATGTGTTATGTGTTTGTGGATTATGTTGTGCAGATTAAGTCTGAAGCAGACGCATACATGTCCGTTTGTTTTGCTCTGACTCAGTGAGGCAGCTGAGTGATATTTTTAATAACTTCAGCATCTTGTGGGTTTATGAATTAAAATAGTTTTCTGGAGAGCAAAAAAAAAAAAACATAACCCAACAACTATTTCCTTATTGATTCAGCTAAATGGGTTTCATGATTTGGCAGTAATTTATTTTCACATTTTTTTGCAGTTATATTTGAGTAATAAAAAGTTTCATTGGGCTCGACTTGTACTGCTATTGTTGCTGCCTGTATCCTATATGAATATGTGCTGTCTTCCAGGCATTTCTCTGTTGTTTTATAGTCTCTTTTTGCTGAGTATGAAAGTGATCTCAGTATTCATCAGTCTTTTGTATCGTGCCTCATTTCAGGCTGATCGTATTACACACTCCCATTCGGGGACAGAGCTGGAGTTTAAACTGCGTTCTCAACCATTGCTTTAGATTTATACTGAAAAGAATCTCTGAACAAACACAGACTGTAATATTTATCCTGAGGGAAGTGAGACGGTAGGGAGAAGAACTTACCTCAGACGGGAGATTTCTGACCTCTAACATGTTCCCTGTGATTGCAAAATGTGAAGGATTACTCAGTGATAAAAAATTATAAAATATTGTGCTCTGCTGATGTTTCATCTAATCCTCAGTTTAGGAATTTTTTAGGGAAACTGTACTGTTCCGAGCAGAACTATGAGACATTTGCATTCAGAACTGCTTTGCTGTTTTTTTTGTTTTTTTTTCTTAATTGAATAAGTAATTTGATACATGTTTGTTTACAAGTGTTCAAATAAAGTTATAAATAGGTGAGTGAGAAACAGTTTTAGGACAATAAGTTAATAATGAATGAGTGAGTTACAGAGTGTAAGACTGAAGTGACGTTGTGTGGTGGGGCATCATTTCTGTTCAGGTCGATACAGACTGGAATTCTGTTCTTATGCACCTGGGATCCTAAATGCAAACGTTTCTATGCGACCTCCTTTTTGCATTTTAAAAGCCATTCCCAGCTTGAATTCAAGGAAAATTGTTCTGTTTTTTTTTTTTTTTTGTAACAAGTTGAATGACGCACAAATCACAGTGGCTCATGTCACACCTGGTGCGTAGGTTTAGAAACCATGTGCGTTGCTCCCTGTGAGTGGAACAGCCGCGGATCATCCTAACACTGCGAGTATATAGATGTGCTATAAATATTAGTGCCCACCAGCAAAGAAAATATTTAGCTTGCAAAGAAAAACACTTGACCCCTCTTGAAAAAGAATATCAGGTTTGAATGAAGTGTGTACTCTAGCATCATTTGATACCTTACTAACGTTTCTCCTGGCTGGGACGATGCTGCCGAGTCTGTGAGCTTATTTGAGGAAAATGTTTGAGTTAGAGGAGGGTGCTGGAGTCTCACACTCCCTCTCTCAGATAAATGCAGAGGTCTGTCTGTTGATTCAGCCTGTAAAGAGATGAGTAATGGACTTTTGGATTTGATCATTGTTGGTACTTTTTACATTTCTTTGACTACTCCCCGCTGTGTTTTGCTAACGCACGTCATTGTGTGCCATGTTTTCTAGAAGTCTCCACATATAGTCTTTATACATGGAGCACACACACCTGTATGCAAGGAAACAAACCCACTAGCATCCATTTCTAATACTTGTTGACATTGTACCAGCATACGCTATGCACACACACACACACACACACACACACACACACACACACACATATATATATAAATAAATCTATGCGCACACACATTTTTGTGGTGAAGTGGCACTGGCACTGATGCTGAATTCTCTCAAACTGACTTAGTTTCCTGTGTTTTTCCGCAGCAGCATTTGTAGACGTCAGACTGCAGGGTGATAATCTGACTGTTATGAGAAACAACCGACCATTACAGCTCACTCTGAGCCGCTGCTGTGTCAAACACTTAATGACAGCTTCCCAGTAGCCTGTGAATAGTTCTGGTTCAGTGCACAGAGGAACACATTAACTGCTTTTAGTCAGTTATTCTAATCAAACTATGTGGTCTATTTATTTATTTTTTTTGTATAGAAAGAAGACAGACGAAAAATTACATGGCATGGATTTCACTGTCACGTTAAAAGCCCTGGATCATTTCTCTTCGTAAAAAAATCATTGATGTGCTAATTGTTCTAAATGCTCTGAAAATATACATATAGTTCTCATCTTCAACATCTCATTGAAACCAGTAAAATATGGCACGCAGCCTAACCTACAAGGGAACTGCTGTTCACATTTTAAATATCAGCCTTTTTTGGATAGTTTCTTCGAAATAAATCCTAAGATTTGTGTCACGTAAAATGTTTATACAGCTATAATTCCGGGAAAATGTTTGCTTCAGCTGTTTCATGGGGTTTTGAATTTCTTAAATTACCTTGGACTTCAGGCTTATAATTGCTTTATATTTGGATTTGATGTATGCACAGATCATATTGTTTATTCATCTTGGATTTCAGTCATTTTTTTGGTTTTGGTTTTGACTTGTCTCATTGTGAAATTATAACACCAACTTTCCTGAATCAGGGGTGTGACAGCAGTGTATATAAATCGGTTTCTTTAGCGGTGGCTAAATGGTTTTTCCTCTTGAAAAGACCAAAGAGATGGTATTAGATCCAAAACCTTTAGAATATTTATCGCCAACGGATGGATTCATCACCTGGGGGAAATGATTGAACAGGTGACACAGTGCAAATATTTGTTTTCCGTGTTAAATTTGTCTGATCTTAAATCAGTCAGTATTTAAACTCTATGCAAATTTAGGCTGTGTGGATTAAATGAGAGCATTATAATCATGGTCTTCTCCAGGGTGACTACTGAATCAGTAATTCTCTATGGCGTCACTGTCTGGTTTGGCAATCTCACTGTGAAATTAAAATTTCAAGTCCAGAATGTGATGAGAACAGCAGGGGAAAATAAAAGGTCTTTTTTCTCCAGCAACATCTTTACAGGAAATATTTGAGGAAGAAACTGTTAATCAAGCCAATATGGCTGACCCTTGTCATTTTCTTTAGAAAGAATATGAACTTCTGTCATTTGGTAGAAGGTTCAAGCTTAAATCAAGCATAGATTTTCTGTAGTGTATTGTATTGTCTCTGTTTTTATAGAGTGTGTGTGTGTGTGTGTGTGTGTGTGTGTGTGTGTGTGTGTGTGTGTGTGTGTGTGTGTGTGTGTGTGAGAGAATGAAACAGCAACCTTGATGCCCAAACTAATCTTCTTTAGTAAATGCTCATTTTTGGAATTATTATATTTTTAATTATACTCAAGCAAAGCTGAAAATGAATTATGGTTTGTATAGTGGAATCATCAGATACACCATAAACTAAAAATGTTGGCTTTGTGCCGCTCTCACATTTTCATTTGTCCATAAAAATTTGAATTATAACAATATAATCATTCCTTTCTTATTCTAAAATAGGGGTATTGCGATGTACTGGTATTGATGATAACTATGATATTTAAAAAATTAAATATTGATATTGTGTTCATAATACACATGATAATATTGTGATGGGAGATGCCTTTCTCCACCTCCCTACACTTTAAGTCTAATTTGTTTTCCAACAAAGAGACAAAACACACAATAAACAAAGTTAAAGGTGAATTTGACTGATAGAAGTGTTATTATTGTTTTTAATTTTCTATAAATATCGTGATAATATCGTTATTGTGAATTATTTTGGTCACGAGAATCGTGTAGTGAAAATCTGACATTGAAACGTCTCTA